GAGAAGTGGAGGACAAGAGTCCTGGAATAAGGCCCTGTAAGCAAACTAACCTGCCACTGACTGGGGGCAAGCCTCCCCTGTAGGTCTCAAAAAAGCCTGTTAATTAGGATGTTTCTGGAAAGAAGGTGCAGTAGGACCAACCCTTGGCTTTTGGAGAGCATGAACCCTGACATTAGGGGCAGGTAAAGTTTTGTGTGCTCCCTGGCTGCTCCCCACGAGGCTGAAACCTTCCCCTGGCTGCAACGTGATACTTAGGCATGCCGGAAGCCTGCCAGGTTTTGGACAGAGTGCTGAGTCAGAGCTTGCAGCTGTAGTAGAGAAGTTGGGAGAACCTTCTCCAAGATCATGCTGCCTCTGAAGAGCTTTGTTGCAAATCAGAGAGCTTTGATTTGTACAAACCTCTGGACTCTCAAGCAGTAGAAACCCTAAACTTCCAGTAGATTTTGTCCAATGGGAATTACTGGACTATCCCTGTGGCTTTAGGGCACTTAAGTCTTGGTGGTGCAGACGCTGCACCCTCAAAGACTGCAGGAACTGGTGAGACTGGAACTTGGCAGTGTCCTCCAGCTTGGCGATGGAGCGTGCCTCCAAGCCAAAGCCTGTCAGTGTAGACTCCTCCCTGCCAAGCCTGGTGGAGACCTGCATTCCCTGGCTAGGTGTCTTCTCTGCTTCTGCCCTTAGGCAGGGCTTCTGCCGAGCACAGGGCTGCCTGCAGTCTGCGAAGGGTCTGGTTCCTGGCACGTGTGTCACGTGCTGTGACAGGGCATGGGGGAAGCTCTTGCAAGTAAGACCATTGCCTGCAGACTAGTAGGGAAATGAGAGGTGCCACAGCTGAGGTCTCCTGCTGCTCTGCATCAACAAAGAGCCAGTCTTGTGGCTGGGCTTGTCTGGGGGGGAGAAGCAGAAAGGAAGGTGAAAAGGTCCTTTTTTTTTTTCCTCTCAAAATAGCTAAAAGACTGGCATCTATCAAGTTTGCTGCTGCATGAGCATGTGGACTAGTTCTTCATGCTTGGCTGTTTATGCCACATGCAAGGCTTGACTCCATTTCAGCTGCATGCATCTCCTGCACCACCCCCCCCCCCCCCCCCCCACCCCCGGCACCG